TCATTATGAAATATGCTCTGGGTCCAAGCAATGGTCATTTATGCAACCTAATGCTGCCCTGATCCTCGGCTAGGACAGTGGCAAGCCACCTTTTACCCTCACAGTGATCTATACATAGCACACATTCAGAGGAAAGAATCATGTGTGTAGTCAACTCCTGGTGCAAGCAGGTAGCCTGAGGAAAGTTGTAATTTGTAAGAAGGAATCTGATTAAAACCTCTTTAGGAATAATTGCCTAAAGAAAGCTTGCACTTCACCAAGTTAGATTGAATATGACATAAGGCAGTTAACTTTCTCTTGCTAAAGGAAGGCAGAATAATTGTAGAAAAATAAAATCCTCAGTTGATCTCAAAACTGTGTCTTAGCCTTTAGTTTAAAATTTACTAACTTATTTTTTTCCAGCTGATATCTGAATAGCCCATGTAGGTTTTAGTCTTGCTATTCTCAGTGTGGCCCACCAATGAGGAGTATCTACATCACCTGGGAATGTGTGAGAATCTGCATGTTAATAAGATCTCCAGGTGATCTGTATGAATACTGAAGTTTGAGAAGCACTGTTTAATAAAGTTCTATCACCTGAATTTACTCACTAAATTGTCTTATAAGCCTATGTGATATATAAACTCCATTTTACAGATGAAGAAACTAAAACCCTTATATTAAGTGCTCAGCCTAAGGTCACTCAATAATACACTACCCAAGGCAACACTCAAAATGAGTTAATCTGACTTTAATTCCATGCTCTTCCCACTGTACTAAAACTACCTCTTTAAAATCAGTAAGGGAAATGTAGCTATTTTTAGATACTTGAAGTCAACTGGAAATGGGAGAAAGGGCACAGGTAAGAAAAGACAAGATCCTGGGTCTGGTCAGTCCACAAAAAAGGTAACCAAGCCATGATTGATTGTGAGCCAAATGTAATTATGAAAAGCCATTGCTGAAATCACTCAGCATTATCACCTCAGAAAAGAAGAAGGTGTCAGGTAAATTAGGAGAAATAGGCAGTAACTGTTGGTGATAGAAAAATGTGAGGAACCAATCATTTGCAGTTATAATGAAATTTCCAAATGGTCGACTTTCAGCTTCTCTGAAAGATATAACATCTTTCACTGCCCATTGCAGTGGTAGTAATCTACTAGTGCCTAACTTGTGCTAAGCTCTGGCTCCCAGAGAGCCTGTGATGACATTGGGGCCACCCAGATTATCTAGGATCATCTCCCCATCTCAAGATCCTGTATTTATTCATATCTGCAAAATTCCTTTTGCTGCTTTAGGTACCATATTTACAGGTTTCAGGGATTAGGATGTGGACATCTTTGAAGGAGTCATTATTTTGCCAACCACAGATCACTTCAATCAGTTGGGGCTTTAAACAATGTCATGTATGGTAACTTGCCCTTGAAAATGAATATGAATGGATAGATGTGCATCTTCTTACTATTCTTTGCAAATAAACTGAGCAAACTCCATTTAAAACACCAGGATCAGACAAAAGGACAAATACCCAGTATAAACACATTGGACAAAGATTATCTCCTGAAGTCATGCTGTGATAAAACTATCTGCTTATCAATAGCATCAGTGTCTTAACATAGTTGCTTGCAATAATATTGGGTTATGAGGTATTTTACTTTCAAACTGTGGTTGAGGGCCATCTCAGGGAGGAGGACAAGCTGCTGGGGACACCCTCTCCAGTGTTTCTGCCCCATCCCTTGTTTCTACCAGAGCAACTCTGCTTTTATCTGTATTATGTGTACACTTCCTATTGGACAATTGGGCTAAGTGGATTTTGGGGGTTGAATGGGATAGATTTCAAAACTACGGACTCATACAAAAATGATTCTTCCCATCCCCTAGCTGGAATAGGTTCAGGGTTAAAAGTGTCTGCTGCCAGTGGCTTTGTGTGGTAAGGGAGACATGTTGTTTTGGTTCTGGAACCCAGAGTTCAGAGGAAAACAAGGAAGAGAGGTAAGATCAGCTGTAAGTGTTGATTCCTTTGCTCTATTTACACCTTAATGACATTTGATCCTTATAAAACTGGAAAAGAGTCATGTTGATGAAATGTGTACAGGTCTCAACTAAAGACAAGGGTTTAATACAGAACTCCCCCATTAAATATCTCATTCTACATGTCTTTGGAAAGTTTTCAGCCTTGTGAAATATGTTGCTAAGATCAATACCCTGCTTCCTGCTACAAAGTCATTACCTATTCTGGAACCTTTACTTTTTGATGCCCACCCAGCTTGATTGAGCAGAATGGCCAATTCACCATCCTGTTTATTTCCTTAGAAAGGTTTTTACAGTTAAATTAGGATTAGAGTCAAACAACACTGATGCAGATGTTTGGCTTTCTGGAGGCTGTTCATTTGAATTAGTAAAAAATCTGATTTGTAAAATATCTCTACAGAAATGTGACTGATAAAGTGTTGCGATGAGCAGGTCATTTCAAACTGGCCTTAAGGAGCAGATTGTGCAAATGTCTCCTCACACATTTTCTCTAAGGTCTATAAATAGTCTCCTTAAAAATCTCCTATACACTTTAGTTTCATAAAGATGGTAACCTTTGAGTTGTAAAACACCTTAAAGATCATCTAATCCCACTTTGGACCCGTATTCTTTATTTCCAGCTATCTGGTCACCTAAGGATGTGACACTAACTGGCCTGCTATAGATTTTTAAAAGTCCTTCCTGTTGTTGAAGGGAAATCTTCCTGACTAGATCTCTAAATCATTGTCCCTAGTTTTACCTTGGAAGGCCCTCAGAATAAACTCACACCCTTTCCCACAGGACAGACCTTCAAGCTTTTTGAAGACTATCATCATATGAATCACTCTCCTACTGTCTCCAGAGTCTTCTCCAGGCAAAGTAATCCCAGTTCCACCACATGGCTTCCAGGCTATCTAACTTATGGTATCATATTTAAAGGCCTTTTAATTATGCTTAAGTATTCATATATGGTTTCTGTTCACAATTATAATCCCTTAATCACAATTCTGAAATTCAACAAGTTCTGAGAAATGTTATTTTCAGTAACTTTGAGACAAACTCATTTAATGATAAAACCTGGCCTAAACTGACATGCAGATATTCATTTACAGTCTCTATTTACTACTGTTACTGTGAATGTTACTGCAGCAACATTAATGAGTTTTATTAAGGGACGCTTCCCCAGATCCCACTGGGGTATTATATGTATGGTATAGTAACCATATTACTTTTTTTAATTAAAACCAATCTGAATATCAAAATTCATCTGCCCTCCAAAAGGCTTTAGATAAGGAACCCATGTATACAGACAGACATACAAGTTTTTACTAAGCCAGTATATATTTTATTTTTATTTACCTGAGGAATAAGTTCATTCTGGTAAATAAAGCCTCTGTACTTTGTATATTTCACCTCAGTGCATTCAGTTTGAGGGAATAATTCTTGAGATTATTTTGTTTCTTACAAAAACTTCTCAAAAGTAACCCAGTAAATGGAAACTCTATCTAGAAATATTCCAAAGTAAACCCAGACTTTACTTTTGTTTGGTGATACTAGGATAACCACAGTCTTTTGAGAAGCCAGAAATTAATGCATAGATATGAAAAAAAACTAGGAAACAGCCTTTTAACTTGAAAATAAAAAAAATGTTAGTATGATTTAAACATCTCTCAATCCACCGGCCAGTAGTCACAGATGCACACAGACATACACACACAGACATTTTTCCAGGGGATATAGTCCCCTGTTTCTTCTGCTTCCTCTAATCTCTTGGTGTATTTGACAGAGGAATGTACTTGCAGATAATATTTATTTACCAGATAGCATTTAAAATGAGCTTTTGCTATATGAAAGAAAATATTGGGCCCCCATCAGTAGATGAGTGGATACAAAAACTATAGTATATTTACCCAATGGAATACTAAGTAGCTGTAAAAAAGAAGGAACTCACCTTTTGTGACATCACATTATCTCACTAATATGTGGAATCTAATGAACGAAATAATCTGATGAATAAAATGACACCAGAAACTTGGAAGCATTCAAGAGACTGGCCGGTGCCCCAGGGGAGGGGGTGAGGTAACAGAGTAAAGAAGGTGAAAGGATTAGCTAAAGAACAGGTATGCTTAGCCCATGGACAGGAACAATAGTTTGGTGAAAGCCAAGGAATGGTGAGTGGGTGGGTGGAGGTGGGCAAAGGGAAGGAAAAGGGGGGAACACCTGCAATAATATCAACATTTAAAATTTTAATAAAAAATTTAAAATAAATTGCAAAAAGGAAAAGAAAAGAAAACATCTACCTAGGAAATTAAAGGGAGAGTCTTTAGGGTCACAAGGCACATGTAATAAAAAGGCTTTCTGCATTTATAGTGTCTGATGAGGATCCTGTTCCTTCCCAAGCAGCAACTGAGTATGGATCCAGCTCAGTGGGCAAGAGCTGTACTATTGAAGAAGAATACGCCCCTATGAGGGTGTGGGGTGGGGAGCAAGCAAGTAATAATGCTCCATGCTTACAGAATATTGAGCATACGGGTCCTTAGGGTCAATCTTTCTCAAGGTTAAGGGTGGAGCCACATGACTAGGTACCCTCCAGGACCAGGCCTGGATTCTCCTGACTGAGCCGAGTAGAAAAGAGCCAGGAAGGAGCTGGGAGTGTAAGATTCTGATGGCCAGCCAGGCAGATCTGTGGGCCAGCCCCTGCACATCAGTGAATATCCTCTAGCCCACCTCTCACCATAATTAACAAAAAGGGGACTGGGCTGATAAGACAGAGGGAAATGAGAACACTCTCTCAACTTTAGATCCCCATTTTTGAGCAAAAACAGAGCAAAACTCAGTCCAAAGAGACAATGATCATGAGCCCCTCACTGAGCCTCATGTTTCCCTTCTGTGAAATTGGACTGAATGCTCCACTTTGCTTGTATCTCACAGATCATAGGTCCTTACTCTGAACTGGGCTCATTCAGGTGGTTTGAGACTGAAGAAGGCAATGAATGATGTCATTTTTCTTTCAGCCCACTCTTGGCCAAGCCTCAGCCTCCACCTGCAGTGCAAGCCAGTGGTGGATCCGGCAGCTCCAGTGACTCAGAGAGCAGCTCAGAGTCAGACTCGGACACTGAAAGCAGCACCACGGACAGCGAATCCAGTGAGGTGCCTCGTGTGGCCACTCCAGAGGTGGGTGAAGTGGCCAGTGCAGCAACCATCACTTGCCTGTCACCGAGGCTGCACCCCAAACACCCAGACATGCACACACACTTTCAGCACAGTAATTATTTTAACACAATGAATACTTCAGAATAGTATTCAGGTATTTGATAGCATTTTTTACTTCTGAATTGTATGCATCGTTTCCATGGCTTAACAGCAAATGCTAACATCGGCATGCATGCCCCCATACACCAAGGAAAGTGCAGTGGTTTTTCAGAAGTCAAATCTTTACATCCTTCAGTAAAAATACAAAAGACCTATTCTTTTTGCAGTGAATTACAGTATCATATAGGAGGCACTGGCACTTTGGCAGATAGAAAACTTTTTCTTTTGAATTATGCTTGAGGCATGCTTACATTTATTTTCAGGACCAGAGATCATTACCTCTGCCTCCTCGTAATAGGTTAAGTAATGAGTCTCACAAAAGGATTTGGGGACTAGTACCCACAACCCCAGCCCAGGTCTCCCTACAGACTCTTTGAAAAAACCCTCTGTGAATAATTATTTCCTTCCTGGCCAGAATGGATAATATTTTCAGAAGAGTGGAAATTAGTTTAAATGAGTAGATCTGGGCTGACTTGTGGTGTATTTGGCTCTCTAAGTAATTTGACTAAAGTGGATTCTGTGTGTACATTTGTAAATGTATAAATGGTCACTTAACATCCAAAGCTTTTACCAGCAGTCAGTGTACGGAGGGTCCTCCTGAATCTTTCCCAGATGTGAAATTCATTCTTGCTGCTATTTCTCAATCTGTAGCCTGAGCCTCCCTCAACCAACAAGTGGCAGTTGGATAAGTGGCTTAACAAGGTGACATCCCAGAACAAATCATTTATTTGTGGCCAAAATGAGACCCCCATGGAGACGATTTCTGTGCCTCATCCAATCATCCAACCAATGGAAGTCCAGGTCAAAGTAAAGACAACCCCCAGCCAGATCCTGGCTGAACCCAAAGAGAGGCCTCTCCTCAGTCTCATCAGGGAGAAAGCCCGTCCACGGCCCACCCAGAAAACTCTAGAAACAAAGGCTTTGAAGCATAAGTTGTCAGAAACTATTGAGACAGCTTCTCAAAGGACAATTGGGAAAAAACAGCCCAAAAAGGTCGAGAAGAACACCAGCTTTGATGAATTTACCTGGCCCAAACCAAATACTACCAGCAGCATTCCCAAAGAAAAAGGAAGTGTGGAGCTTCCTGACCCACCAAGAAGCCGCAACAAAGCCACTGCCCACAAACCAATCCCTAGGAAAGAACCAAGGCCTAACATCCCATTGGCTGCCGAGAAGAAGAAATATAGAGGGACTGGCAAAATTGTGCCAAAATCCCGGGAATTCATTGAAACAGATTCATCTACATCTGATTCTAACACAGATCAGGAAGAAACCCTTCAGATCAAAGTCCTGCCTCCTTGCACTGCTTCTGGGGGCAATTTTGCCAAATCCAAGGAAACCTGTGGTGCTGACCTGACCCTCAGCACCTTAATCAGTGGCAGCAGCAATAACAATTTATCCATCAATAATGATGAGCCAACTTTTTCACCCATCCCTGGCATGCAAACTGACCTTCCATCCCCTCTAAGAGAGCAAGAGAATCCAAAAAATCTCTGGGTAAAGATTGACCTTGACTTACTATCTAGAGTACCTGGCCACAACTCACTCCAAGCAGCACCAGCCAAGCCAGAGCACAAGGAGACTTCTTCAAAACCCAAGCGTCAGATTGCTGCTGCAGCTGTGGAAAAACTCACTCCTAAGGGCAAGAGGAAGCACAAGGTAAGCTTTATAATGTGATCATGAGCAGTGACTGTCCTTTGGCTAACTTGATCTTGAGTCTCATTTTTAAGGACACCAATGGCAGTGTATTGAAGTCTTTGGTGAAGGCAATGATGCTTTCCATGTGAAATGCAGTCTTTGACACAACCAGAGAGGAAGTGTTAGAAATGATCAGGCTTTGGCAGCCAATGTCAAGAGTATCCAATATGTTACATGGAGGATTATGACATTTCGGAAAGAAGACTATGAAGAGAGTCTCCTTCCCCAGGCTGTCAGTCACTGGGGCCAGCTTCTTAAGCAATTCCTGCTTTCATGGATTCATGGGTCATTACTCTACAGTCCTCCACCCCAGCAGCAAAAGGGAACCCAAGTGTTTCTAAAGTCAAAGGGCATTCTCTGGGCCTGGTTAATTTATCTGAACAAACATCAGCATCCTTACAACCCAGTCACAATTTATTTTGGCTCCTGCTAGACATATGTTCTGCCCAGATCACTGGACACCCTGAGCTGTATGAGTGGCTTGGTTTGTGAAAATCTCTCCTACATAAGGTTAGGGCTGAATTCCAGGGCTACAAATTGTAGGTGAAATGCTCAATAGCCTTTTTGATTTCAAATACATCTAGGGAAGTGAGTTTGCATGTAATAGATTCTTCATTAGGGAACAGCCTTACCAGTGGCCAAGCCATACTGCTGAAATGTATGATTTACTGCACAAATGATTTAAGTTTTCATTTAACATTAGCAGTTCAAAAACAGAGGGCATTATCTCTGAGCTGTGCACCAACTTATCCAAAAAGAGTACTCCAAAATAGGGTCCAAAGTCTGCGGTCCTTGCCCTATCACTGTTTCCTCACTCTTAGTGACAACAACAGTACAACCAGGGGTAAAGATATACCTTCACAACAAGCACATGCAAAGGTCAAAAGGCCTTGCACGTGGTTAATTTCCTTGCATGTTGTTGATTGTAAAAGTGACCTTTATAAATTATTGATTTGTTGATGGGAGAAGTATCTGAAAAGTATAGATTCTCTTTACTTTTAGTATGAGATTCCTGTGTACCCAGTCTTTAATCAGAGGTTCACATCACAGCTCAACTATCTCAAATTACAACTTTTGGCTGGTATGACTCAGTTGGTTAGAGCATCATCCCTTACACCAGAAGGCGGCAGGTTCTGTCCCAGTCAGGGCACATACCTGATTTGTAAGTTTGATCCCCGATTGGGGCATGTGCAGAAGCAACTGATTGATCTCTCTCTCCTTCCTTCCCTTTTTCTCTTCTTTCCTCTCTCTAAAAAATCAATTTTAAAAATTCTAATTTTTGGTAGGAGTAAGCTAGTCAAAGGTGCATATTTAACTCCCCTATCTAATATAGCTGTTGAAAGAGAAACAAACTGTCTACCTTGCTCATTGTTTTTAAAAGTCTGCATGTGCCACATATTTTAAACTGTGCATTTTTTTCCTGTTAAAGCCAACAGAAGTAGCAGAGAAAATTCCTGAGAAGAAACAACGCCTGGAAGAGGCCACCACTATCTGCTTGCTCCCCCCTTGTATCTCACCAGCCCCACCCCACAAGCCTCCCTACACTAAAGAGTGAGTTTTCCCTGTCTTTGTATGATACTTCCATTGTTCAGAATCTTAAAAAAACCCTTTTTTGGGGGGGGGGAGGGGTAGGTCTTGTCCCAAAGAAATGTTAGGTAAAATATAAGAGTTGCTAAGTCCAGTTTTGACAGCTGTCCCTGGTGTAACAAGGGTAGGCTAAGGGGTGGAATATAGACGGCCAGATTTTGGGTGACACCATAAGCTTTTTAGCAACATTTCTTTAGTCTAAGTTAGATTGATTATCAAAATTGGCCAACAAGAAGTTTTAGCATTAAGTGGAGGATAAAAGAAAGTAAATGAATTAAAAATGGGCTGCATCAAGAGACTACTATCACTTGAACCAAATCACCTGATTCTGGGCATCTCCAGTTCTGATGGTGATTAAACAATTTCCCTGGAAAGCAACCCCTTGGGATTCACAGGATAACCCAGCTGCTGCTTCCTCTATGGTGTCATTATTTAACCTTAATATGAAGCTTGAGGATCAGTAGCTATATCCTGAACTCCTCAGAGGCTAGGGGAATGACATGTCTGGGAGGGCCAGAGATGAGCAATCTGGGAGTGGCCTTCCCCTACACAGTTCTGTGTTTGGGAAAGCCAGCTAAGAATAGATAGGTTAATTCCAATCAGCTGGTACCTCTTCACCCTTCTCCTTTCTTGTGGAAGGTGCCAGAGCCAGACAGGAGGCTCTCTTTGTTTCTTCCTCACTCAAATAGCATTATGACTGTGTTCTGTCTTATAAATATCGCTTAACTAACAGTTATATCAGTTACTGGAACCATTCCGTCTGGATAATTATTGCCATAAATTCATTCAAAATTAGTGATTACTTCCATCAAAGATCAGTTTTGGAGCCTATTAGCAGCCCAGAGCAGAGAGGCAATCTGGCTAACTGCTGCTAACAATTGATTTCACAGATTATTGTTTAACATCAGTGATATGGCATCAATCTGCCACAGATAAGATATCAGAAAGAAATTATTGGTTTACATTTGCTTGGGTCCTTGTTGTTTTGAGATTAAAGGTAAGAAAAGACCAATTACCATTAGATTCATTCAGTATAATAAGGTGATTTGGGCCATGGGCTGCCCCTCTCCCTGAACATCTGAAGCTCTTTGTGAAGTGAGTCTGTATTCTCTGGTATAATTTTGATCTGAAGCATCTCTTCACATACTTGGAATGCTCATAACTAGAAACTCTTACAGTGGAACAAGCCAATGCTCTCTACTCCAGGATCGACCAGGCATGTAGGGAAACGTGATTCTTCTCTAGTGGTTAAACATGGTCATCATATGGCCTTCCTCCTTTCCAAGGAAGAAGGACTACAATGGCAGTTCCCAGGCTTTGACCAGTTCAGGCCACCTGAAGGCAAAAGGAAAAGGCAGGGGACAGTGGGAAATTATCACACCATCAGTCCCCATTGCTAATCTCCTTAAATGACCCAATGACCTGTTGCTATTTTCATTTCATGGAAGAAAGATGATCACATATTAAGTAAATGTCTAAAAATTTGAATATGTTCTTATAAAATGATGATTTTAAATTCAGGATCATACAGTGTTTCTGCTTTGGTTATAGGTAGGAACGCAGTGTTTACCTAGTAGCATTTTTTATTTAGGAAGGCCTGAGTCAGGTTCTCATGCTCATCTAAAAAACTCAAGTCTGTGAAAAAGTCTTGAGTTGAGGGAGAATGAAGCATGGACTGGCCTCTCAGAGGTCTTCTCCTGGGTACCTCTCCTCAAGCTTTGTCTGCTCCTTTGTGCTTTGTTGACCCTTCAAACTAAATCCTTGGAAGTTTCTATCAGACCACATTCACTTCTCTAAATGAATATTCTAAACCTAGCAAAGAATACCACACCAGACTACGATAGCTGGAGTTCCCTTTCATTCAACAAAAGGGTCCTGCTGAGTTCCTCCTCACTTCTTTGGAACCTAAACCATTAGCAAGGCTTATGAGACACAGAGGAGGGGTGGGAATACAATTCTCTTGTCTGCTGTCCTCCTCTAGCCTACAATGAGACATGCAGAAAGTAGCAAAAGTTGTTCTTGTAGTAAGAAGCTGTAATGCTGACAGAGTGGTCTCCAGAAAATGCTCCCTGGGTATTTTTCACCAGTAAAGTTATTAAAGGCTCCATGATTCTAGGTAACTACCAAACAGAAGGAAAGGGGACCAGGTGACTCGTGCCCACTGCACAGAATGTACTGTACTGTATGCAATATATTGTTTACAATGGCAGATTATAAGGCCTAGCATGACTGTAGTAGCCAATGGCTAGTGAATCATTCACCTCCTATAGACGCCAATACTTAACATCTTTGTACATAAATTCCCCCAAATCTGATACCTCTGCAATGATTGTACTTAGTGTAGGCTGATGTTTGTGGATCTTCCTCATGAGCACAAATCTTAATCCTTATGGTCACCATTATTTTAATCAGGCATCACAACTCTCTTAAAATTGTTCTATACATCAACTCAACCTTAGAAATCCATTGACAAATATTTTAATTAATTTTAACCAATTAAGTTAATGGCAAAAACAGTTAAATTTTTAAAAATTTTGCCATATAACAAGAATTGACATAGAGCCATGTAGAAGAAGTGGAACAAGGAGACTGCATTGACTTCTACCACTTCAGAAAATCAAACTACTTGAATGCTTGTTCATCTTCGATTTGTTGCTTTGAGATTTTGTAAATCTATATTTCTAGACACTTACTGAAATTGACCAAGAAGAAAACATAAATCCTTGTTGACTTAATTTGCTATTCAAAATTGTAGTTGATAATCATGAAAAGTAAATGGCTGCACAGTGCAATATAGTTGTCTAAGAAAAGATTAAAATTCAAGTAATCTACATTGATTAGTCTAAAGAAAGTAACTAAAATGAAAATCCATTATCCGATTACCATGTCAAACAGCTGGCATAAGGGTTTAGTTGTACTATTTCATTTGAAGTCTCAGTCTATTTGATGGTGCTCATTTAATAAGCAGATAAATAAGTTTGAATGCACAGAAGTACCCTAGGACTGTAGGTGTCTTGTGGCAATATGACAAAATATTTTCCAAATGGAGTTTGGTATAGTGGAGTACATCATCAGTACTTCAATGTAAGAACTTAAGGTGAGGGGCTTGTTATGCCTTACCATTGGGGGAGAACATTTTGAACATGCAACTTGCAATGTACCACTAAAGTATTTAAAGCAAAGAACATATATGCATAACCCGTAGACACAGACAACAGTGTGGTGATGATCAGAGGGAAGGAGGACTGGGGGTTGGGTGGAGGTGGGCAAAGGAGGGGC